TAAAAACACCTTCCCTCCACCCCGCCTTCCTTCCCAAGCTCTACCTCCTCTCCACAGCAATGCATGGAGATGGGGAATGGGGGTTATGGTCAGTTCATCACAGGCTGTTTTCTGCCACTGCTGAGGGAGAGAAGTCCTTCCCCTGTTCCCCCCCATGAACTTCCCCAGCGTGAGTCCATCCCACAGACAACAGTTCTTCACAAAACTGCTGCAACGTGGGTCACTTCTCCAAGGAGTGCAGTTCTTCAGGAACATGTTGCTGCAAAGTGGGACCCCCACCGGGCCACAGATCCTACCAGGAAAACCTGCTCCAGCATGGGCTCCTTTCTCCACAGGTCAGCAGGTCACTGCCAGGACCCTGCTCCATCATGGGCCTCCCACAGGCTCATGGCCTCTTTAGGCATCCACCCACTCCATCGTGGGCTCCTCCACGGGCTGAGGGTGGGTTCTGGGCTGCAGGGGCTGCAGGGGCACAGCTGCTTCACTATGGTTTGCATCACAGGCTGCAGAGGAATCTGTGGTCTGGTGCCTGGAGCATCTCCTGCCCTTCCTTCTGCACCACCCTGGGAGTTTTCATTGCTGTTCACATGTTCTCACTCTGCTCTTCTCGGACTGCAATTTTCATCTGCCCATTAACTTCTTTTTCCTTCTTAAATATGTTATCACAGATGCATTACTATCATTCACGATTGACCCAGCCTTGGCCAGAGGTGGGTCTGTCCTGGAGCTGGCTGGCATTGGCTCTGCTGGACAGCTCTGCCGGACTCTTCTGGCAGCTTCTCACAGAAGCCACCCCTGTTGCCTCCTCACTACCAAAATGTGGCAACACAGACCCAACACAAGCACTGGCAGATGAAGAAGCATTTTTTAATGATATGAATCAACCCTAATCAAGTGTTTGGAGGTTCAGATTTCTGAAAGCATTTATGCTGCCTCCCATTCAGTCACCCTTCTGAGGATCCCTGTCTAGCAATGGCAAAACACTCTTTTTTGTAAAAGGAAGAACACACGAGTACATGAAAACTTCAAATATATTCACATATAGTGATTTATTTCCTACTTTAAGAGCCACTTTCTGATTGTTTTCTTCTACCATTAGAGCAGAAAAAGTGGAATTATATTAAGCATCAAATTTAATTCTAATTTAATCCTTTTCCCTTTGTAATGAGTCACACAATTTTGCTTGTACAAAAAGAAAAAAATTAAGGGTGGGGATCAGGAAGAGACAACAGAGTTGAGCTTTGTTTGAATTTTTGTTTGTTTATTTTTATTCTGAGATATTCAAGACTTCACAGAAAGGTAAAAATGAAAATGATTTTTCATAAATCCTCCCAGCCCATCTGCAAGGAAAGCAATTTCCACTGCTCTAGGTTTACTTGTAAAATAGTTTGCATAATATTAATCATAACCATCTGATTTTCATCCCTCAATTTCTTGAGGTCAGGGACTTTCATCTCATATATCATGAACAAATAGCTTTCTCGTACACATGTTCTGGTCAAACAGATGTAGGTATTTGTATTTATGAACTGTCAGACTTTGCATCACTTATCATAATGTTTTCTTTCACTACAAAGATGTTGTTAGGAACATGAACACCTTATTATCCAGAAGTCTTTTTTTTAAGCCTAATATTAGTTAAAAATAAAAATACATACATTAGACAGAAGAGGAAAAATAACCTAACTGAAGTTATCTTGTTATGGTTGCATTGCTAAGAAGTAGGTGACTAAAAAAATAAAATTAAGAATGAGGTGAAAAAAAACCCCAAAGTTCAGTGTTCCCCATAATTTATGTGAAAATTAGGATTGGTGGGTGTAAAACATTCGCCTTAAAATATTTTCAGATGAAGAGGGCTGGAAAATAACAAACTAGCTCCTGCCTACACTGTGGTCTTACATCCATCTACATGTAGTGTCTGGTTAGAGCAATTACACTATTTCCAATATAATTTAAGGCAGAGTTTGCCCCTATCCACTCCTTGCACAGTTCCTGATTTCAGCTCAGATCAGCACCCAGTTCATTAGCACCTTTCTGGATGCTGCTCCTCTGTGGTGTTTATGTGGTTACCCTTTTACCTTTATGATGCAAATCCCACAAGGCAGAGCTCCCTTTGAAGGACCAACATTCCCTGGCATCACCAGTTATACCTATGCTGCCACAAAAGTTTCTTCTCCAAAATTATCTGAACTCAGATTTCATGCTTTATTCTCACTGCTGGCACTGCTTTGCTTTGTTCATGGCCAAGTCACTAAAATCCCTTAAAATCAAGAGAAACAGCTCATCTGTTCATTCTCTTCTGTGGCATTATTCCAGACTTTTGACCACCTAGGTACCAAAAATTATGGTTTTGCCACTCTCAGGGATATTACACCATATTTCAGACATGCTGTTGAGGTAACTGCTTTGTGTGCTCCCAGCTGTGTAGCCATGGTTGTACAGAGATAACAGCACAGCCATAAACAGCCACCTAAAATGAACAGGGACATGGAGAGCCCAAGCAGAAATTTGTGCCATTAACATGTCATGGACAGTCTCTACAGAAACCTATATCATAGTTCTCATGATAAGACCCTAAAATGTGTTGCACAAATCTTTTTTTTTTTTTTTTGGTTATACATGCAAGTGGGAGATTGTTATAAAGGAATAAAAATGCTTCTGTTGCTAGTTATGCTTCCTTGGAAGAAAAATAAACAATTGCAGACACATGATGATGCCAAAAAGATCTTCGGTTCTGTACTTTCGAAAGTGTTAGAATGAAGTTTTTGGCTGCAATTCAATTTAGCTTCTGATGGATGAAATGAAAAAAGGGTAGAAAAAGAGGTACTTTAGGGTCCCATTTTTATTCGGGTAGGAAATCTAACCTTGAACAACCTTGTGAGTGTTCTGTCAATGATTTTAGGCACAAAGACCACTTAAAAGCAAGGAAAGCATATAAAAAAGTACTCTTGTTTATCCAAGATGTAAAAGTAGCCATAAAAGCTCCTGATAGAAAAAGAATTTAATAAAAAAGAAAAAAAAAAAAGAAAAAAAATGAAAAAAGAAATTGATTATTTTAAAGAGACAGAATGATCTTACTTCTTAGGTAAGAGAGCACCCCAGAGCTCCTTTGCTGAAGACCCACCAAGGTGAGCAGTTCAGGTGCCAACACAATAGGTAGTGGAGCACATTAACATGGTGCACAGGGAGGTTTCCAGAACCAGGGGAACCTGAAGGGGAAGGGGGACACCCATCAGTAGCCCACAGTTCGTGTGGCAGCAGCTGAGGAAACTTGGGCAGGGCCAGAAGCAAAGGTAGCTGAGCTCCCACCTCCAGTGCCCACAGGCTGGTGGGCTGGTGGTCAAACAGGTCATGGCAATCTGCACAGGAAGGGCCCTAGGACAGCACTGGGACCCTGCTGGTGTGACCAGGAAACAATGACATCTACCCACCAGAAGGCCATGGCCTCTCTGATCTCTGTTGCCACCATAACTGACAGAGATGCCCAGACTGAGCTCCAGTGGGAACAGCAGAGCTGCAGCAGTGAGCACAGCTGGAGGACTGTGCCCAGGGAGGGCAACTCCTCTGCTCCATGATATAGCTCTGGGAAGAAGTGAATAGATTGAGGAATATCATGAAATCATAGAACCATTAAGGTTGGAAAAGACAAAGAGAAATCAGGGAGAAAAAAAACAGAGTCTGAAGAGAGAAGGAATGGTGGATGATGTGATGGTTAGAGCCTTCTTTGGGTGCAGTTGTCATGAAATGATGGAGCTGTTGAATCTTGGAGAAGTAAGGAGCAGGGTTGATAGAACTGCTACCTTGGACTTGCAAGGGGTAGGCTTTGGCCTGTTTAGTTGGACTGAAGATACCTGAAAAGAATGAAGGGTGTGTCATCAAAATTTTGAAATTCTCAGTGTTAGGAAGAACTAGACTTCAAGGCATTATGAAACACCTGAGACATTATCACCGAGGAACTCAATTAATTCCTCATCTCAGCTGTTATAACCCAGTCATGTGTTTTGTGATTTGCTTTACTTGAAATGCTTTACCTGTACATATCTGTATATATTGATGAACCAACAGGTGTGTGTGTTATCTATTACATGTCTGTAAAGGGTTCTGATGCAGAAAATAGAAGACAAAACCAAGAAGAAATATGAATATATTTTTATTATTTGACTTCCTTTCATAATTAGTACAGGAAGGTTAAAATATTTGACACTTAATTGTATTTTTAATCTCTATTTGAATTTACAGAAATTGAGTTCACAGTTTGAAAATTGAACTTAGCACGGATTATACTGTGATATGAAAGGTAAACTACAAAGAATAGCTAATCCTTGGTTAAACAAGTTGTTCATCAACAAAAGCGGATGTTTTTTATGTTCTTATATAATTTTAAATCTAATACACATAAAAATATTTTTACCAAGAAATATGAGAAAATAATCACATATACTAGCAAAAGAGATTCAGAAAAACTCTTTAAGAAGTGTGTAAACAAAATTGAAATAAATTCAGAATTTTTGTCATGATGAAATGACAGTTTGATGTTGCACCTCCAAATAAGAAGTGTCTAATCTTTTTAAAATTACCAGTAAAACTAAATTTCTGTGATATTTTGTTTTAGAGAAAAAAAAATCTGTGAATGTTTATAATTTAGTAAGAAATTTTATGCTATTTAAAATGTTACATCAAATTCATATTTATTTTTTATTAGCTTTATTTATATATTTACAGACAGGACAACCTGCTTATGTTAGAAATGTTTTATTTATGAAATCACATTGTGTAAATGTAACTCTGTACTAATTGAAACATCATTTCCTCTCTACACCAATCTGTTTCCTATAGTGTTAAAAAGAGAGTTTGTCCCTCCAAATAGGGTTTGCTATTCAGTGCCAGAGCCAAGCATACCATAAAATATTAGTATGATTTAAGTGATGCACAGTGCAATTGCTCACCACCTACTGATTGATGCCCAGCCCAACCCTGAGCAGTGGTTTCCACCCCTGTGGCCAACACACCCCAGTGTTATTGTTCAGCTGACGCCATTTGGTCTGGGATATTCCTTTGGCCAGTTGGATCACCTGTTCTAACTGTGTCTCCTCCCATCTTTTTGTGCATTCCCAACCTCCTCTCTGCCAGGGCAGCCTGAGAAACTGAAAAGTCCTTGACTGAGCGTGAGCAGTGCTCAGCAAAACACAAAGCATCACAATATTATCAGCACCACTCATCCTAAAAACACAGCACTTTTCCAGCTACTAGGAAATAAATTAACTCTATCCCAACCAAAATGAAGACACATTACCTTAGTCTCTCCCTTCTCATCTCACAAGCCTTGTATTTGAATCTTTATTTATCTATTTTTTTAATTCGAATTTTGGTTTAGCAGGAAAATTTGAGATATTATTGCATAGTGACATAACTTATGGTCTAAGTGTTTTAGCCAGACCTGAAATTCCAATTTCCTTTAGTTCTTGTCAATGTTAAGAACCAGAGTGACCTAGGCTGTCAGAAGGTAGGCTGTGTTACTTGGTCATAACAAATAGATCTTCTCAATAAGTCAAATGTCAGAATGAAATAGAATAGAATGGTTAAAATATTATCATGATGCATCAGCAAGTTAGGCATAGAGTAAATAATATACAATTAAAATACAAATTTTGTATCTTAACAACCAAAATCTTAAAAAGTAATTTTAATAAAAAATCCATTCAAAGAAAATCATTAAAACTTTTTATTTCATCCTTTTCATCAAAATCTGATTAAAGAAATAAAAAGTAATCCATTCTAATTACAGGTAGAAATTCAGGCAAACAATCCAAACCAAAATAAATCGAACATCTTCCCTTACAATAGTTTAAAAGTATTACATCCCTAAGTAATTCAAAGGATAACATCAGAAATGAGTTCATTAACTCTCACCAGACACATCTTTCCTAAGAACTGTCCTGTTACTGTGGGGATCCATCGCTCAACCCTTCCTTCATTACTAATTTCTGTGAAATCTCATTAGCCATCACTGTAAAAATCATTCTTTTCCCTGTCATAGGAATCAAGGAGTTGTGGGTCTGTCTGCAGCACTGAGGCCAGTGCAGTGTTCCATGAAGTCTCAGTATATAATGGCATTTCAGAAAATGAATTTTCTTTTCCCTGTAATCCTTCCTGAAAGGCTGTTCCCAAGTGCTACAGCCCCTGAGATTTAGGCATTTTGTTCTGATTTCCAAACACATTGTTTCTGTTTGCCATTGTGCCAAGGTTGTGTTTCATCATTAGCTCTCTCTTTTCTGCCTTCCTTCACTCCCTACACTCCCACACATCTTTCTCTTTAACCTGCCTTTATAGATGGCAATCACATCCCTTCTTAGCTTTTGTTTCACTAGGGTAATCAAGCCAAAATCTTCTCATTTACTCATGGAACACAGGCTCTTCATTTACTTGATTACCCAAGGAATTTTTTTTCTGCATTTCAATTAGTATTTATTAAACATGTTGAAAAGAATTTGCACACATTTTCCAAAAATATCTTGTCTGAGCTTTCACCCTGACATTAATGGATTTTTACTTCCCCAGTAAACACTTCTAATGCTACATTACACTTGCATTGCTCATGGCTGTTACCATGTTTGTTACCCTGTATCCCTTCGTGTAATGAATGCAACTGTAACCAAGGTAATTAATTAATTAATCAGGTGGTATCTCCTAAGTATGTTATTGAAATTCTCTGTGATTGAATCACTGGAAAATACAATACTTTTAGTTCTGGGGGTCCCCCAGTTCTCTATGGTGAAATCCTAGTCTTCCTCTTGTTGCTCAGTGCTCAAAGTGCCCTAATCTTTGTGGTGCTAAAGGCCTTCTACCTGCAATCCTGCAGCCTCTCTTTCGCTTGCAACTTTTGAATCCTTTCCTTACTTACTGAGGCAGTTTTTCAGTGGTTTTTGGGCAGTGTATTTCCTTGTGGTTTCATGCTGTTGTCGCACTGCTTTCATACAGTTCTGTTCATTGCCTCACACCTGCAAGCCCGGATCCCATTCCAGTGCTGGATTCTCGTGGGACATGACTGCCAGAGCAGGAGACACCTGTGCCTGATGATGCAAATCCATTTAGCACTAACAGCACCACAAACCAGGACAAGAAAAGTCATAAAGGCATCTTAATTGTTAGCAGTCGTCCCTGGAGAAAACATTAGGAGGAGGACTCTTCTCTGAGGACACTGTTGCTGTTCTTTGCAGCTAGCTTCCCTTCCCTTCCCTTCCCTTGCCTTGTCTTGCCTTCCCTTCCCTTCCCAAACCTTCCCAAACATTCCCTTTCCAAATCTTCCCTTCCCTTCCCAAACCTTCCCAAACTTTCCCAAACTTTCCCTTCCCAAACCTTCCCTTCCCTCACTTTTGTTTTTCTCCAGAGGTAGTTTTAAAGTATGTGTATATCATCAGCTCTGTACCCCATGGTAGGGTTTTGCACATGCAAATCTGTCTTTTTTAAAAAGACACTGATAATAGTGATGCACAAAAATCTCAATTACAATTTATCATGAAATTATTTTATCATGAATTGATCACAGAAATATCTATGGAAAAAAATTATTGCATAAATCAGTAGTTCCCATGAGCTCACATTGAGATCCATTCCTCAGAGTCTTAGAGTCTTAAGTAAAACTAACAATAAAAATAAAAAAGAAGACACAATAAAAAGTAAAATTCTTGTCATAAGGGTTTATGGAGTAATTGGATAAACCAGGAGACAATGATGAGATATACAATAACATGGAAAAGAAACATAATTTTCCAAGTATAACAAAGCAGCCAAAGAATATGATTCCTATTTCCTTCATCCCATTATGGTGTTTTCTCATTTGTTAAAAAAGGAAGCAAGCAAGTAATCAATAAATCAAACCTGCTTTCTGGAGTATTTATTAAGTTACAGGTTGTGCAGAATTATATGCGACAATTTATTCAGTGTTACTGGTGTGAAAATTTCTCAATATCTAAGCCATATGTACCGCTGTGCTATTTTAACACATTAAGAAATAGTTGGCCATTCTTATTTGCTGAAAAAGTATTTTAGTCTTCAATTATGACTTCTAATGTGGGCAGAGATATTTCTATCTAGTCAAATACATTAGGATCTATGATGAAAACATCTATATAATTAGATTTGATTAATCAAGTCTGAAAAATGTGAACTCTCTTTGCTTTATATTTTATAACATGCCTCTGCTTCTAAGCTGATCACATGCCTTGGTCCTTTACTGTGAAAAATGATAAAACATTTTTGATACTGGATACTTGAAACCTGAGTCCAGAATTCAGTGAAATCAACAGAAGCTTTGAATCAAACCCAGGAACAATAGATTCAAAATGACTTAATATTTAAAAATCTTATTAATGTGTCTGAACTATCTTGAGTCTTTTTTTCTTGACACTCAGAACATACTGCATAGTTCTTAAGATTCCTACCTTGTAAAAGAGTAGTTTGTTAATCTTAATAGCAACACTAGTCCATGTTTGAAAATTCTTGTGGGTTCTTTTTTTTTTCACTCTAAACTTCTGTTTATCGCCCCTGCAAAGTCAAATATAGAATTTAATCCTCCAATCCTCAAGATGCATCCAGTCAATACAGTGTTGTAACTGAATATATTTTTGTATGTATATATATTTTGTATGTAGCTAAGAAAATAGAGATCACGAGAGTTTTTAGTAGACTAATAAATCAGATCAGCTTCAAACTCTAAAGAAAATTTCACTAGTTTCATTCATTAGAACGAACTTTGTGCTAAAAGTTAATCACTGTCTGTACTTCTCGCTAAAATCGTTAGAATTAACACTTCATCTGCTAATTAGCTGTGACTACACATTGCCATGGAAATGGTGCTGTGTAGTGCTGGTGGCCACAGCCCTTCACGGTTTGGTTCTTGGTCTCCCAGGTGAGGGGTTGAGAGCTCTTTCATTAAGTCAAAACAAAAGCAGATATCTTCCCAAATTTTCTTTGCATGTTCATGTGGTTTTATACTGCTCTTCCCACTCGCAGAAGGGGTAGATGGGGGATGCCATCCGTTCCCAAGGCTCCCTTTCTTATTTTGGGTTTTACTAGTCATGTTTTTTGTTTAATGGGCAGGATGTCCTTCCTATTTGCTGTCTCTTATGCTTATCTTAGTTTTCCTTCTCTGTCTGGCAAACTCTGATCCTTGTGTGACACCTGTTGCTGTGTTTCCCCGTGTCTCTTAAGTGCAACTACACAAACCCCTCCTTGCCCCTTATTACTGACCTTGCTCATATATTTATTTTAAAAATGCTGGAACACTGTTTGCCCATGCCATAACACTGTCACAAAAAAACTGCTGTTTATAGTATCTTATCACATCTATATCTCAAGTAAAGGCAAGCTAAGAGTAACCACATCCTCATTAACACAATTGTAATTCACAGATGTCACAGGCCTCTGCTTTGGCTACAACAGCTCCTATCCAAATTCTCTTTTTTTTGTACTTGAAGACATTGTTTTCTTCTGCCTCAAGAAATACCATAGTTTTTGGTGTCATCCATCCAAAAAGTTCCTACAAGGATCTTTTTCTCCCCATTTCCCTATTATGTGCTCCTAACTCTTGACTTCCCCTGCTCTTTTGCATTAAGTCAAAGTTGAGTGCTTCAATTTTTAAGGCTCTTCATATGCACTTGTGATTACTCAGCAAATAAAGAACATCTTCCTTCTCCAGTATATTCCTATAGACAAAACATGCCATTCAGTGACAGATTTCCAAACAAGTATTTTCTTATTTTTCCTCACACTTTCTCCTTTGCTAACATAAGCTCCCATAAGAGTAGAAATTTAGTGATGTTTGCCCTGAAAACCACAGTTATTCTGTGATGTCTACAAAAAGAATTAAAGTATGTGAATGGAGAAGCTGCAGAACTATTGCTTCTAAATAGTGTTCATTTTTTTAAACTGCTATCCTGTTTTCTTTGTTTTCTTTTTCTGTCTCCATCTCTGGTTTCTGAATTTCAGATGAAAAAACCCTTACCCTTGAAAATGCTGCCTTGCCCCTATAGTTTGTACAATGAAGCATTAGTCTAAGATTTTTGACACTATGTCAGTGAAAATAATACATAAAAATAATAGATTTTTAGAGCAAACAAGTTATGTTTTTATAATAGCATAGAAATAGAACTAGATCAGATTGCCTTACAAGAAGCATATTATTTCTATTGCCTGGGAAAACAAAATTAAAGAATTTTAGGTATAAATTAGCTTTCATTTATCACTTAAGAATGAGTCAATGTGCCAGAGAGGTGCTGTTGCAGTCTTTCCAGCAGTCTGGCAAAATTTGTGAGTAGATGGTTGTACCTGCCCCAGTGCTCAGACCCAGAAGTGCAAGTTCTTTTTCTCAGGTAAATGGGAAGATACAGCCATGTAAAAGTGTGAAATCTGGAGTTATTGACTATTTGTTAAAATAACTATTTGTTGAAAGTGTATTTTGTGGTGTGTACAGGAAAAGATAATGACAAAAGGGAGAAAAAAAGGCCAGGAAATTAATAGAGGGAGCAGTGAAAGCTTCCTTTCAGCTTAGCCAAGCATATTGAATTTTATGAATGAAGCCTCTACAGTTTTTCTTTCTTCCAGTTTCTGTGCCTGCAGCAGGGTTAGCAGGTGGGACATCCTGAAAGGATGCTGAGAAACAAGGGACCATTCTGAATTTCTCTTTTTCTTTGTCTCTTTGCTTACCAAACCTTGTGTTACTTTGTGCTTGTCTCTTACTTCCTGCATGCTTAGCATGTATACAAGAATTGAATGAGACTACTATTACTCTTAAAATTAAGTACAATAATGTTTGCAAGAACATGAACAACCATTACAAATCTCGGTCTTTCTCTGTCCAGGTTAAACTTTATCTGAAGCTTAATCTATGATTTAAGTGTTTTGTTTTTTTTTTTATTCAAAACTTGTGTATAGAGCAACTTATTAGGGTTTTAGTATATGAGCTCCACTGGAACAGATGGAAACAAACCTAATTTAAAAACCAGTTTAAATGTTAAATATTTATTTATTCGTATTACTTCCAAATTCCTGGTAGAAGAACTTTAAGTCTGGAAGGTGAGTAGTGTGAAAACAGTAGAAGTACTTCATTCTGCAGCATTGTAATCTGAAAGAGAGTAGGTTTACATTAGATATTAGGAAGAAATACTTTATTACGAGGGTGGTGAGGTAATGGAACAGGTTGCCTAAAGAAGTTATGATGCCTTATCCCTTCAAGTGTTCAAGACTAGGTTGCTGGGGCTCTGAGCAACCTGGTTCAGTGGAAGGTGTCCCTGCCCATGTCAGGGGGTTGGAAGGAGATGACCTTTAATGTCCATTTCAAACCAAAGCATTCTGTGATTATGCACTTGGCAGAATGCCTCCACAAAGCTGCCCACCTGGTGTAATCCTGACTCCTGGCTACAGTTCCTGTTTTTCCGTCTCGCTGATTTTCCATTCATTACGTCAGGTTACTTGACATTTCAGATATACAGCATCTCCCGGCTCAAGGTGGAGTATAAGAAATCATTGTGTAAGTAATTGTACTTATTTTAAGGAAAACAGTGACTTTGACATAAAAAATGAAGCCCTTGTAGATCAAATGGTGCATGAAGGCAAGGAAGTGCTGATTTCTCACAAAATGGGAGAAAACTCCAATAAACCAGCAGCTGTAGCATTTTGAGATCTAACACTTATATAGACCATATTTTTTTTCTAAATTGCCTTTCTCTGAAGTCTCTTTCTTCAGATTCAGTTCAGCATGACTTTTCTTCTGAGTAAAACTCTCAGCATTTCACAATGCCATTTGATAGGATCAGACTTTCAAAGACATACCCATGGTGATCTCCACTAGGAATTAGATAGCACAAACCCGAGATTTGGGAAAGAGAACAAGCTGGCCTAATCCGACCTCTACTACAGCACAGAACACCAAAAGGAATGGTAATGATGACATTCCTTGCTAAAGGAAGTTCATTAATGGAAAGTGCCAGATTCTGCACCTGGGATGGGCAACTCCGGATGTACAGACAAACTGGGAAATGAAATGCTGGAAAGCAGTGCCAGGAAAGAGATCTGAGGGTCCTGGTTGATGACAAGTTGAATATGAGTCAGCAGTGCCCTGGCAGACAGGAGGGCCAACCTGTGTCCCTGGCGGTATCAGGCAAAGCATCACCAGCCGGTTGAGGGAGGGGATTGTCCTACTCTGCTCTGCACTGGAGTGGTCTCACCTGGAATATTGTGGCAGTTTTGGGCACCACAATATAAGAAAGATATTAAGTCATTAGAGAGAGTTCAAAGGAGGGCAAAGAAGATTGTAAAGGGCCTGGAGGGGAGGCCATATGAGGAGCGGCTGAGGGCACTTGGTCTGTTCTTCCTGGAGAAGAGAAGACCGAGGGGAGACCTCATTGCACTTACAACTTCCTCGTGAGGGGAAGAGGATGGGCAGGCACTGGTCTCTTCTCTGTGGTGACCAGTGGCCAAGGGAATGGCTGGAAGTTGTGTCAGGGGAGGTTTAGGTTGGATGTTAGGACAAGGTTCTTCTCCCAGAGGGTGGTTGGGCACTGGAACAGGCACCCCAGGGCAGTGGTCACAGAACCAACCCTGACAGAGCTCAAGAAGCATTTGGATGATACTCTCAGGCACATGGTGTGACTCTTGGGGATGGTGATGTGCAGGGCCAGGAGTTGGACTCGATGATCCTTGTGGGTCCCCTCCAGCTCAGCATATTCTGTGCTTCTGTGATAAATTTAACAGTACCTGGGAATGTTCCCAGCCAGTGGATCTTGTGATATTGTAACTAGAACTGTCCCTCAAGTGATTTTGTCCTGTGCTAACTAACATGCTACCAAAAAGTTACTGGACAGAGTTGGTAAAAATCCATCCTGGTTTTCAGTCTCTTAATTTTGATCTGTTTAAGTAATTTACAGAGATTGCCTTCCACCCCATTTAGGTATAGACTTCAGTGTTTATTAACTTCCATTTATTTTGTAGTGGATTGTATTTGCTATTCTTTAGCTTGAGGAGAGAGACATCAAGGGAGTCTTGGCAGCTCGACCATTTGAAACTTTAAAAATTAGTTTGGATGAAACTTTAGAACTTGCACCGCCAGGAAAAGCCTTCCATTTTCAGGGAGAGCATAATGAACAGTGTCTCAGATCTGTATTACAAAGATATTATTCTCCCATATAAAATTATTAGTTCCAGTATAGTGTTTCAAAAGCAACATTGCTACTTAATGAATGTAATGTTGGCAAGCGGACCTGTAATAATGTTAACTCTTGGGTTTTGCTTCCCCTCTCCCCCTATTTTCAAAGGTTTGCTTTGTCACCCGTTAGGTCTTGGGAGAAAATCTTGAACAGCACAAAGTTGTACAAAGTCTAGGAAAAACATGAAATGATTTATTAGCAAACAGAGTAAAGGAGCTTTGACCTCTCAAATCACTTAGCCAAGGGAATTGCTATAATTTTGATTTTTCTGTCATTTAACTTCCGTACTAGATCTGTATCAACTCTTGCTGTTTCTTTGAGCAAGCTGATCAGTCAAGTAGTT